ACCATATACACTTGATAAATATTTGAGGACATAGATATGTTTAACCCAATTTCAAAACTATATGTGTATGCATTTGAAAGAACACCACATGGAACCCCTTAACTGTGTACAACTTTTGTATTTGTATTATCAGCTACAACTAATTTCAATTTAAATGAGTGAAAATATTACCCTCGTGTTATATTGTGTAAATACTAAGTCCCTGGTCTACATATGTTTCAGGGTTGTTGGTGACTTTTCTTACTTTTTCTTATTTTAAACATTTAAATTGATTCATAATAATTGTATACACTTGTGGAGCACTCTGTGAACTCTTGATATATTTTCTCTCAGCAAACCTCAGTTCATGCCCTAATTCTTGCAGGTCACAGGTCACAGGGTTACGCAGCTCTGAGGGCTAACGCTTCTCCATCCAGTGAAGTGAAGGATCAGCATGGGACTACAGGAATGAGGAGAGGGAATGGAGGTTCTGACCAGGAGAAAATAACCTTTAGTATACACAGTTACAAGAGACACAGATAGAAGAGAGGAAGTCGGGGAAGGCGAGAGAAATGGGGAAACGGGTAAAGAAAAAATGAAGAGACACAGAGAATACCGAGTGCAACTTCTAGGTGGTTACTGAGAGTTTTTGTAATTTAAATATTCTAGGAAAATACTAGCTATAACATAAAATTTAATATCTTAACCATTTTAGGTGCTCAATTCAGCGGCATTAGCCCATTTATAGAGTTAGTAACCATCGTCGCCATCCATCTCAAGAACTTTCTCATCTTCCCAAACTAGAATTTTTCCTCTGTTAAGCACTAGCATACGACTGCCAACAACTCATAGAAGGTTTAACAACTTCTATGTCTATGAATATGGTTACTCTAGGGCCCTCCTCTCGGTGGAATCACACAGAATTTTTCTTTTATGGTTGGCTTATTTTATGCAGCATAATATCCTCAGGGTTCATTCATGTTATAACCTGTCAGAATTCACTACAGTTTAACTGAATAAAGGTGTTCTTCATTTAATGACCTGCCTGTTTAATGACTTTCTGACCTACAACTGGGGTGCATGGTTTAGGTTTAACAACGCACCGCTCAGACTTATGACCCACCCAACACTTAAGTGACCCACCCACTTAAATCTTGTGTACAGAGCCTCAATATCTTTTTTTTTTTGGTGCAGTACACCTTGTTCACAGAGGACTGTCGTATTTGCTGATTGTATTGGATAGATACAGTAGCTCTGTATCCCATGATACATTACTGTACTGCATGTAAGACTTATGCAAATAAAAGTAAAGTTTTTAAAAGAGTTTTTGAAGGTGCCAGTGGTCAAGAGGCTATATCTAGTGATGGTCTTCTGATTGACAGAGTCCCAAGGTGATGTAGCACATCATACGGCAAGAGGCAGGGAGCATGTGTGTGTCTGTGTAGACAACTAACCTCTTCCCCCTTCCTATAAAGCCACCAGTACTCAATCATGGAGGCGCCACCCTGATGACCTACCTCACCTAACCCTAATCATCTACCAAAGGCCCCACATCGAAACACTGTGCATGGATGAGGTTTCCACCTTCATAACTGTAATGAGGGTTAAAGTCTAACATAAGTTTCAGCAAGAACAAACCATATTCAAACCATAGCACTCTACCACTAAGATACAGATGCTTCATGCATAAATGATGGACACCTCACCCTTCTTGGGTGTGTCCCATAATCATTCCTTCCTTTGGCAATCTATGATGCCACAAGTGCTCCAGGAAAGGGAAAAGTTTCCTGGAATCCAGACAGAACACGTTTATGACTCCATGGCTGATACTCCCTTTTAGGCCTGCTTGGCTTTACTCAACTGCATCCAACCATACTGGAAAATTCCAGGTGTATCCACATAAGAGTTCTGCTCCAAACATTGGGTAATCTGAAAATTCACCAGAAAATATCCATCCCCTTTCCTCTAGAACTATCTCCCCAATCCCAGTGTCTGAATATGTATTTGACTTCGGTTGAGTAATATTTCCCAAGCTGGTGCTGGCTTTTTACCCAGGAACTTCCTGTCATTTTCTCTACATTACATTAATTCCTTGCTCACACCCAGGTGCCTGCCACTCCCCAGACCAATGTCTTTCAGTTAAAGATGGAGAGGCTCAGTGAAGTGCAGGTGATATCTGCTTGGTCTCCTCAGAAACTCAAATTTCAGATACTGTCCTCCTTTGGATACTGTGACTTTAAGCTTTCATCTAGTCTTCCCTCCATTTGATTTTATCCCTTCACTTCTTCAGATTCATGCAAACTTGCATGCCTGACACTTTGCTAGGCAAGTTTTAGGACACTGTGATAAGCACAACTAAGTTTCCCTGTGGGAAGGAGATAGGTGATAGATATCGTGATTTTTATATGCTAATAGTCTGTCAAGAAAATAAAATAGTGAGATGGAAAAACAAAGTAAGTGGTACCACTAGGTAGAAGGGAACCACTCCTTCATGTTGAAGGGTCAAAAAAGGTACAAGGGATAGCTTGTGATATGAAACTTCAGTATGGACACAATTAGTCATAGTAATTTAAACTCCGTATATGCATTGAATAAAATGATACAGGAGTACAAAGATAAGAACATGTATGGGGTGGAAACCTCTGAATTATAATGTTTCAAATCATATAGCAATTGTTACGGATAGAACGTTGGTGCCCTGCAACATTCATATGTTGAAATGCTACACCCTCAGTGTTTTGAGATCGGGAGATGGTGCTTTAAGAGGTGATGCCATTAGATCACAGGAATGCAACTTTTATACATGGGATGTAAATATGAACCAAGCTAGTCTTCTCGGGTGGAGAGCTGGACAAACATTAACCGTGTATCAGCTGCACTAAAAGTGAGCACTTCAAGGATAGGGGTTTCAAGGACTACTGGACTCACACAAGCAGCTCTCTGTGTAGTCATCACTTTTCTCTGATTCCAGCTTTGCTGTGCACTTGACCAAAGTCATTTGCTCCTTCTGGCTCCTCAGACTGTAGGTGAGCATGCGAGTGATGAGGCTGTATGAGAGGGAGACCTTGGTGTCCAGGTGAGGGCTGTGGTAAACAGCAGGCACCAGATACATGAACACCGCTACACCATCAAAGATTCCCACCATGTTGGTGTGCAAGCAGCGGTGACGAAGGCCTTATTTCCTGCCTCTTCTGAATGCATGCGTAAAACAGCTCTCAATCTATGGCCATGGTGGGTGGCAAGGAGGGAAAGGGAAAGCAGGGGAATTAGCACCCCTAAAGCGGACAGTGCCAAACTATAGGCAAAGGAGGGCCTCTAGCAGAAGAAATAGTCCGTGATACAGAAGGCACAGGAGGGGAACTGCAGGGTGGTGGAGGTCCGCATGGAAGCACTGCATACATCTGTCAGCCAGGAGGAGCCCACCATAAACAAGCACACCTGGAGCCTCCATTCAAGGAGTAGCACATGGTGGTAGTGGTGGTGGACAGCAGGACACTCTCATCCATCAATGGCAGGAAGACTATCTGAGCTGCACAACCCCCAGAGGACAGGAAACCTTTTCCTTGTGGGAAAATCCGATACCACTTTGGTGATGGTGACCAGAGGGAAGCTAACATCAAGGTTACACAGAAAGTACACGGGTATGTGCAGTCAGGGAGTCCCTTCTCAGGAAGAACTATCAGATGGCCTTGCCCAAAAAACTGGTAGAGAATTTTTAACACCAGAAGGAGGAGCCACTGATGTGGCCCAGAGAGAGTGAAAAGCCCACAGGAATGAGGTCCAAGGCCATCAGTTGATCTCCACCTCCCATGCTTCATACAATATACCTTCACTTCAGGGTGAACAGAAAACCTTTGGTAAGAAGTCTGGGTGAGCAAGGCAAAGAAGTCCCACCTTGTGCCAACTCCCAGTACTTGGGAATGGTTTCCTGATTTAAGTAGAAAAACATGCCATGACCATTTATCTTCTTGTTGGATGAAATTATGTCACAAAGTCCTTTGTTTATTCTGTTTATTCAGAGCCAAGAGCTCTCCGCTGGGAAACTGTGCATCCTCCTACACCTGCTGTTGTTGAGCCCCCTCCTACGGCTGCTACAGCCCCACCTCCACAATTCTGAACCCCTTCTCCCCACAATTAGGTCAGACACTCTGGTTGGAAAGGGGAAAAGGCTGTAGCTGATGCTCTGTCCGGGTGCTCCAACTAGAGCCAAGGAGAGGCCTCACTGCCCAAAAAATTAGAATTGGGAGGATTCAGCCAGCAGGGCGGATCACTCAAGACCGTTCCCCTCTTTCTCCCCTTGCACTCACCAGTATATAAGCACCATGTTTTTCATTGATCACATGCATTTTTCACTCTCCCTGCTCACCCTACAATTAAAATCCATGTTCTCTGAGCACAGGGAATTTAGTCTGCTTTGTCCAGCCTATATTCATAGAGACTAAAGCAGTGATTTAATAGGCAGCACAATAAGCACTTCTTCCATGAATGACTACAGCATACATACACATGCACACACGCACATACAGACACATACAGACCCAGCACAGCTAGAAGGATGAGGAGAAAATGATGGCTATCCTGGGCAAAACGACTAGGAGACACCGATAGGAATGAGAACATTTTACTGATTGTATCACTGTTACAAGTTTTCCTATATGTTTATCTATGACTTCATTCCCCCTTCTGTGCCCCCAAAGCTCTTACATTAAGATATCTTTAAGATACCTTCTGCCATGGGAAAGCAAGTTGTGGAAATGTGCAGTATAATCTGATTTTCTTGGGCTGTGTGATCAGAACAGACTGAAGAAATTCTGTATGTTTTCTTAAGCATACAGCTAGGGATCCAAGGAAAATCTCCCCTCCACCTCCCCTGCAGCTGACCTCAAATATTCCCAGCCCCCTGGAACTATACCAACCCTATCCCACAACCCACACCAGTTGTATTTACTGTCCTGTCATCACCCCTAGAACTGATCTCCTCCTCCTGCCCCGCCCCCAGAATGGGTCTCCGCCTACAGTTAGCCACGCCCACGGCTGGCCACGCCCACAGCCCCGCCCCCGCAACTGGTCCCGCCCAGTGTCAGCCCCGTTGGGCCTGGTACCGCCTACATCCTTGTCCCCGCCCACGACAACGTTCCTTGGTCTGGTCCTTTCTCCGAGCACCGATCCCGCTCCCCGCGGCTGACCCATCCCAGAGCTCAACCTCGTACATCCTAAAGGACCTAAAACCCCTCCCCTGCTCGTCCGGCTCAGCCCAGTTCGAACCCCACTCTCCGCAGCCGATAGTCTGAAACCGGAAGCAAGCTGAAGACTGCCCGCCCACGACCGGAAGCGGAAGCGCGGAGCTGTACAGTGGGAGGAGCCGCCAGTGGCGCTCAGCGCTGTGAGTCTGCTTGTCTCTGGAAGTCGGAGCCCTTGGCCCCTAGCTGGGGCCGAACGCGGTGAGCGGCGGAAAGGGGCTCGGGTAGGAATCTGGAGAGGGCCCTCGGGCATCCCAGGCCGCGGGCTCGGCGTCCTTCTGTCCTATTCCCTCCCCCGAGGCCGCAGGCTGTTCACGCTCAGATCTGCGCCAAGCTACCGTTTCCTCTGGGTCGGGACCCGGCGCTGGCGTCGCCACAGCAGGGACGCCTTGTCGCCCCCACCAGGACCAGCCTTCATCTCAGGGGACTTGCCCGAGTCTGCACAGGGTTTTGCTGGTCACAGGTTGGGGGTGGGGCCAGTGCGCCTGTCACTTAGCGCGTGAAGGCCAGAGACGCTGCTCTACCTTGTGCAATGCACAGTGCACCGCCCCACAACAAAAGAACTATCTGTAGTGTCGAGGTTAGGAAGCCCTGCTCTGGGGCTTTAAAAATCTCTGAAGCTCCGAATGAACTGTGTTAGCTTAGTCATTTACAGGACCTCTAACTGACAAAACGTGTTTGCAGCGTCTAGAGTCACCAAAAATATTTCTTTCTAGTCAAATGAGCAAATTAGGTGCACCCAGCATCAACCTGCTTACTCCCATCTTGAGCACATGCCTCTCTAGGAATCAGTCCCGGCCAATAGGCTGGGCTCTTTTTATTACACTGAATCAATAAATACAAACACAGAAAGAAAATTTTTTCTGTATTTAACAACCATCATACATCCGCATAAACGCTTGCCTAGCAAGCAAAAGGTCCCGAGTTCGATTCCCAGTCCCAAAAATTAAAAAAAAGAAAGAAAAGAAAAACAACCACCATAGTACTCCCTACATAAGGCATCAAAAACAATCTTTGTGACACACACCCCTTTTCAGAGGGCAAGAGCGTCGTTGAAGCTTAGACTTGGGTGTAAACCAGTGTCAGAGTCCATCCACCCCTTCTCACTGATTCGTGGATTTCTGTGTGCTCGGGTGAGTGCACCCTGTGGAACTGAGCAACCCCAGGGTCCGCACAGGCCGCTCACATTGTAGTCACCAGGAGCCTCAGTGGAGTGGTAAGAAAAATTACTTCTGTTTTATGACTTCTATTCAAAAGAAAAATACTAAGATGTGTATGGTTATGTGTGTGTAAATAAGTATAGTCATTCTTTCTTGACTTTGCTGAACTAGTGCAGTTGTTCATATGCAGAAAATCATAAGAAATTGTGTAATTGCAGGATTTCATTAATTACGTGTATGTATGCCTTTTTCATTCTAGCTTTCCTGTAACATTTCTGAAGGCATGTTTGCTTATTCTGCAATAAATGCACAAAACAGTAGCTACAGTAAGAAGAGCAAAACTTTTCCTGCATGCCATACTACTAAAAATCTCAGGATTTTGTGTAAACATGTAAAATACTTACCTGTATTTGTAGTATTACAAGTCTTTTGATTATATACTAATGGGACTGCTCAACAGTATTACTCAGGCTCTTTCCATTTGACTACTAAAGACCTATAATCCTCCATGACTCACACGCAGATCTGCCCCAAGCTACGGTTGCCTCTGGATCAGGACCCAGCGCTGGTGTCACCACTGCAGGGACCCCTTGTTGCCCCTACTGGGACCAGATTCAAAATACAGCAGTATCTTAAAAGAGATTATTTAAGCTTCTTTGTGTTAGTAACCGAAATTTAAAATTTAGTTGACCAGGATTTTCTTCCTAGTGAAATTTAAAAGATGTGGAAAAATCTGAAGCAACAACATGTAGATTTCAGGGTAAAGCATTAGTTTCCAACAAAGGCTGTCCTCTATACCTTGCCTTCTGTAGGAATTAACTTCCTCAAAACTTTTCTGAAATAGCAGTGCAGTTGTTCATAATGCAGAGAATCATAAGGAATCATGTGTAATTACAGGGTTTCATTAATTATGTGTGTGTGCCTAAATTCTAGCTTTCCTGTAACATTACTGAAGGCACGTTTGCTTATTCTGCAATAGACCCTCTGAGTAAACCATTTAGGGTGACCAACTATACCTGTTTATTCAGGACTGAGGGGTTTTCCAGGACATAGGATATTCAGTGTTCAATCAGGATGATTGTTCACCTCTGAGCCAGGCTTGGACCAGATGCATGGATACCTTGGAAAACCAAAACAGACTTTGTCCTTCCTCCTCCATGATGTGTCCATTCCAACAGAGAATCGGTATTGGCAAGAGTGTTGTGGGACTCAAGCTGAGGGGACAGAAAAGTCTCGTGGGAACAACTGATACTTAGCTTGAGAGGGAATGGTAAGGTTAGACCTAGCTAGTTGTAGCGTTAGACTGGGGCCCAAGGGAACGGTATAAGGGAAGCCTCTGAGCAGGAGAGAACCCAGGGAAGACAGGGATGGCTGAGGTCAAGATGGCAGAAGGGAGAAGATGTGCTCCAGATCCTAGTGGGAGGCGGACTGACCCGACACTGTTCTCAAACCAGTAGAGAACACCAAAGAGAAGATTTGGGAGCAGGAAGAGGATGTGATGCCCATTTGATCTAAGCTCATGGGTAAAACAGACTTTGGGATCCCAAATGAAGAGTTTTAAGAGGCAAGATAGGAGGGGTGAAAAAGAAATTTAGAAAGGAGATGATAGTTCCTGAGCCTGCGTGGTGATGGTGGAATAGGAGAGAGATAGACGAGATCAGGATTTAGAACAGAGCTGATGGTGCTTTCATTCCTGTGTGCGTTTGGCAGGTGATGCAGAGTACTCGTGTGCACTTGGCTCCTGTCTGTGCGAACTGCGGGCTGCCCCCGACCCTTGGCCCATGCCTACCCTCACTTTGCCTCTCCCAGGACCTTTCCCTGCATCCTAAAGGAAGTCAGGCCTGAGTATGCCTACTGCTGTATTTCTGTCACCATTGAAAGTTCTGTTGGGCAATACTGGAAAAGAGTGGCTGTACCTGTCTTCCAGCAGCAACATGTCCAGGGCAGGTTAGGTGTCAGGAAATCCATAAACTGACTAAGAATGCCTCCTGCCTTTAGAGGAATTTTAAGCTACCAAACAACCTGGAAAAGGATTCAAAGTCCAAAGATGCCCTAGCACCTCCTTCTCTGCGTGCCTGTTTTGTGGCACAGTAAACTGCCTGGATCCCAGCCCTGCTGTCCCTCCTCAGGTACTGCCTGAAACTGTACCTGACTGCAGATTGGTCCTTGAGAGGAGAAAGGACACGTTCTATACCTGGAGAGGGCAGGAAAGTTCTGCCACAGCAGCCTGGGTCAACAGACCCCCGTGCTCCTCCCAGTCCCGGTTTCCCTGTTTGATGGGAGAAGCTATATTATTTTCCTGTGGCTACGGTAACAGACTACAAAAGGGGCTTCAAACAAAACAGATTCATTCCCTTGCACTTCTAGAGGTCAGAAGTCCCAAGTGAGTCACAGGCCTCAATTTCTACTAGTCACAGTGCTGCTGGCTCGAGGGGGAATCCATTTCTGCCTTTCTGTCTTGTACAGATTATCTGCATTCACTGGCTGGCATTCTTCCTCCATGTTTAAAACCAACAAGATAATACTGTATTGTCCCATCTCTCTTTTTCTGTCCCCCTCCACTCCCTCCTTTCCCACCTCCTTCATCTTTACATCTCTGCTTCCATCATCACATTTTCTTCTCTGAGTTTCTTGCCTCATTCTTTAAGGTACCGTGTAATCCAACCTGTATAATCCAGGACAATTTCCCATTTCAAAGTCTATACCTTAAATACATGTACAAAACTCCTGCAAAAGAAGAGAGTATACGTATAACCTCTGCGGGTTACAGCTTAAGACAACCCTTTTTTTTCTTTTTGCAGCTAGAAGTTATTAATCTGTCTTCTGCTAGGCTCAAAAGTCAAAGATTCCCTCTAATTCTGTTTTTTCACATGGCACAAACTCAGTGTCCATGTCCCCGTCTCTGCCCATAGACACCCTTCACTGTTTTCTTTTGAGTACAGGAAGATCACACATAGAAATCTCAAGCAGATTTTATGGAGTTATATTTCATTCTGTATCTGTAGGGAGAGGAGGCCTTCCTTTCTCATAAAAAGGAAACCTTCTGTATATACTGCATTGTACCTTGGAGGTTTGTTTGTTTTAACTTAAATTTATTGGAGATAATAATTTCTGCCATTACCTAGAGATCATTTCATTTTTGTTTGTTTTGTTTCTGGCTGCATGTAGGTGTCCCATCATTTATTCAGCTGGTTTCCTTATGATGGTCATTTGTGTTATTTTCAACCATTTGCTGCTATAAACAGTGCCAACAGTGAATAATTTTGCATGTAACTTTTTGTTTTTGTGCATCTTTGAGCTAATTCCTGGAAGTGGGTTCAACAGGGGAAGAGTAAGTGTGTTTGTACCCTTGCCTGACCTTGACAAGCTCCTCGCATAGGAGCCATACCCAGCCACCTGGGAGAAAGCCTCTTTATGTGGCCTCGCCAACAAAGGCCCTGTGTCCTCGCCGATCAGACAGATGGGGAATGCCAGTGTCATTGCAGCCTGCACCTCTGTCACTCTTCGTGAGCCTCAGTGATGTTCTCAGGGGTGTCCTGGAGATGATGGTGGTGGACACCAGACGGTGCTGGACAAGAGTGTACATAAGGAAGGGCAGCAGAGTGAGAACTTTGGCTGGAATGAGGGAAAGAGACTGGGCAGTAACGGGAAGATAAACTGCTCAGAGAACAGGTTTCTTTCACTGCAGAAGATCCTGGACCTGGCTTGAGTGGTGAGAGGAAGCACTTGAAAAGGCAGGATGGAGAAGAGTGGCTCCTAGGAGGCAGATGGACCCCAAGGCACAGCTACCACAAAGAGGAGGCAGCACCTTGTCCAGGAGAGGGCAATAGGGCCCAAGTGGAACTTTCTTGGCAAGACTGGAAGGTGGGTTCCTTCTTGAGAAGTAGGGTGTGGGACCATCGCTGAGAGCGAGGTGATTTGTTATCTGTTGTCACCTAATAGCTGGTTCCGAAACCTAGGCCCGTAAGAGGCCAGTAACCCTTTATCATCTCATGGTTTGTGTGGTTCAGGGATTGAGGAGTGGCATGGTCAGAAGGTTCTGGCTCAGGACACTTGGAGATCGCAGGAGGCTGCCACCTGGGGCTGAGCCATCTGAAGGCTCAAGGTGCTCCATGATTTGCTTCTGAAACCTCGCTTGGGAGGCCGCTGGAGTGACTTTGCAGCAAGGCAGTCAGCTTCCCTTGGACCAGGAAGCTGCAGTCCCTTCTGGGACCTGGCCTCAGAAGCCCTCCCCATCAACTCTGCAGCATTCTACGCTCATTCAGGGTGAGTTGGGGGCCATGCAGGATGCGGCCACCAGGGGCCTAGGGTCTGTTTAGGAAGTTGGTTGCCGCAGGGAGAAGATTAGGATGTGGAAGACCTGCAGAGATCAGAGGATGGGGATGGGGAAGCTGCGTGGGCCCGTGGGACCTTTCCTCCAAAGCCAAGGGCTCTTTTCGCGTCGATGCCTTTGCTTGTCCAGAGGTGACCATGTCTTGTGATCTGTGCAGATGTGGCCATGTCCAGGGGGATGAATGAAACCTGCCTGGCTGCAGTTCTGCTGGCCTAGTGTGAGTGAGGGTCTAGGTTGGGGACAGAACATCTGTTCACGGTAAGGATGAGGAAATCCAAGCCTGGTATGTATGAAAGGAGAGGAGGCGGCGAATGACAAACAAGGAACTAGGAGAGAGGGACGAATGTGGCCTTGGTGTGGTCAGAGAAAAAGAAGGCACACAGAAGAAGAGAAGTTAGAGGGAGGAGAACTTCTGAACGTTTGTGCCCAGCAGTGGGACGGTGCCCGTGATGACGCAGGCAGGGTGAGACCCGTAGAATGTGGGGCTGAGGTGGGGCAGGCAGTGGCATTGGAGCTGGGCCTCCTCATACCCTGAGGCTGTCTCCGTCATCTGAGGGGGGCCGGAAAGTTGAAGGAATAATGATAGCCAGGAGCCAGAGTCTCTAAGGAATGACAAGTTGTTGATAAGAATGTGCCGTGAGACTCAGGAAAGCCAATGCTCTAAAAGGGAGTGGAGCAGTGGACATTGGTCCTATCGTGGGTGACACAGGAAGATAGGCTGTGCTATCACCTGGCTCCTGCTGGTACTATGTTTTGGTTTTGCATCCATGGTTCATCCAGAGCTCAAAACTCCCCTGCCCAAGGCAGGCCACGGAAACTAAACTTCTTCCCCAAGGTGGGTCACAGGAACTCTAATCTTCTCCACCTTCACCTGACCGTAAGCAGTTCTCTGGTCTACCTTGTGTGATAGTTGTGCATGCAGCCCTCCTCGTTGCAGAGGGTCCTGCCCCTGTCCCAAAGGAAGGGATGCTGCACAGGGAGGCAAAGAAGAATCTGAGCAGACAGGCCTTGCTGGGTCTCCCTCTGCAGTCTGTCTGCAGTCCTTCCTATGCAGTGCGGTCTCTATAAAAAACCCAAAGGACAGGATGCTGTGAAGGAGAGGCAGCGCCTTGTGTAACACGGGAGAGGGCAGCAGGGCCTGAGTGGAGGAAGAGCTTCCAGACAGCTGCACAGGTGAGGGACCTGGGAGGTGGCGCCTAGGAAAGGCATGGAATCTCCATGTCCTTCCCCTACACCTTGCTCTGTACATCTCTTCAACCGTGTCCTTTGTCAGGTTCTTTACCGTAACAGTAAGTGTGTTTCCTTCAATGATGTGAGCTGCTCAAGGAATCTGATAAAACCTCAGGCAGGGGTTGAAGGAACCCTGATTTACAGCCTTTGGTCAGAAGCCCAAATAGAACCACGCAGGACTGATGACTGGCATCTGAAGTTGGGGTGGGGACTGAACCCCCAGCTTGTCATTCCTGACGCTGTTCCCAGGTAGAGTGTCGGAACTGAACTCAGCCAGAGGACACCCAGCTGCTGTCCACTGTGGAACTGATTGCTTACTTGCTGGCAGGGAGAAGGCCCCACCCATGGTGCAGGTCTGTGTTGATTGTGCTCTGAGAGCAGAGGACAAATGGATGCTTTGCATTTTTAGTGATGCTCAGCCTGCTGGGCAGATGAAAGGCCCAGCGTGGAAGATAGAACTTGCATTTGGAAGGAGGTGTGTTGGAAGCTGAGGGAGACACATCCTCAGCAGTGTGAGAGGGGGAGCACCGTGTAGACCGTGTCTCCCCTTTATTCCAGAGCACTGCTGCCCCCTGCCCCAAGGGAGTACGAGGTGGCGCGTCCCTCTTCCTCCACTGCCCTGGTCTCCAGGAGCTTTGCTGTCGGAGTCACAGGATGGCGGCTGCTGTCTTGCCCACCCCTTGTGGTGAGTCTGTGAGTTCTGGCAACCCTAGGAATTGGGCTTAAAGGACCCAGCCGCAAAGAGGCACAGAAGGGGGCCACACAGGCATAGGAACAGTGGATTCCAACAACCCAAGGAGCCGGGTCTGATGGGTGGCCATTGGGATTTGGGACTTGAGGTTTGGGGGTTGGCATGAGTCACCTATGCAAGAGAATTATGCTTGCTTTTTCTGTGAACCTGATAAAAAGTATAATGCCCTGAGAGCATCATTTTCCTCATCTGTGACATGGGAATAAACTCCAGACCCTTGAGTCCTATTTTCTGGCTGGGGTGAGATGGGCCCTGGTTTCTCATGGGAGATACGGGTGTCTGTAGGGGCGGATGTGTGTGCTATGAGTGTCCTCGGTGTGTACATATGCTGTGCGTGTACTCGTTGGGCTATGTATGATCAAGTGGGTGGAGAAGCCTCCAGGCTATCAGAACAGGGGGCAGCCTGGATTCTTGCGACTCATTTCTTCTCCAGCTCAGTCCTCCCTGTACCCACCCTCTGCTCAGAAAGCACACACGGGGAAGGAAAGGCTCGTCAGTGAGTTCCTGACACGCTGGCTACAGGTGAGTCTCAGCTCCCTTTGTCCAAATCATCGTTCCCTTGGCAGAAGTTGGACTTGTTACCTTCAGTGGCCTGGAGCCTCACACTCAAAGTGGATGCTTGGGTATCGCAGGATCCCCAGGCATCTGATGGGGCTGACGGGCTGCCCAGAAAATGTGTGTGTATCTCAATCCTCACTGCATTTTCAGAACTCTGTAGGGTCTCTAAGGACATCTTGTGCTGTAAAGAGTAAGGAAAGGCCAGATAAAGACGTGACATAGCTCAAGCAACTCAGGATGGCTTTGGAGAAATCATTTTTCATTTATCAAGTATTTCTCCTACTTCTGCATTGTCCCAGGCTGATGCTAAACCCTCACTGTTGAGGGAAACAAGATTTCAGGTGCTCAGTCTGAATACAGACGGTCTGCCTGTGTTGAGGGGCACTGGACCTTGGGAATGGGCCAAGTGGACAAGCGCACTGAAGCTAAGCCCAGAAGCCAAGGAGAGCAGCACAGAACCCTCACAATACGTCTTGTGCTCTGGCTCCCTTCCCCTTCACACTGGGGGTCCCTGGTGGAGTCATGATGTTTGCAATGGTTTAGGACCTGGTGACCTTTGAGGACGTGGCTGTGGACTTCACCCAGGAGGAGTGGGCATTGCTGGACACATCCCAACGATCACTGTACAGGGAGGTGATGCTGGAGAACTGCAGGAACCTGGCCTCGCTTGGTAAGCTCGGCACCATCCTGCATTTACTTTGTGGCTCAGTTGGCAGTACTTGCTTTTTACTCTTATTATTTTAGCCATGTAGAATGCATAGAACATAAAATTCAACATCTGCATCATTTAAAATTGTATAGTTCAGTGACTCTTAGAATATTCACGGTGTTGTGCAACCCTGTAATTTCAGAACATTTTCACCACCTCTGCTGTGACTTGAGTATGGTTGATGTGCTGGGAGTTTGATCTCCTGTAAAACAGTATTGAGGTCATGGGGCCTTTAGCAGGTCAGGTCTAGTAGGAGATGATTGGATCTGGAGATACCACCCTCAAAGGATTTGTATTGTCTTTCTCCAGTGGACCAGGTTTCACGGGACCAGTTAAGTTCTCTGGAGAGAAGGTTGTTCAAACGGGAGGTGATGCCTCATGGTTAGATCCTTGCCATGCAACTGGATCCCTTTCATCTTCTGTTCTGTGTTGTAATAAAGCCAAAGCATCTTCTCCAGATGCCAGCACTATGCTACTTCAGCCTTGCAGACACCAGAATCATGAGCCAAAAATACAGCCTCTCTTTTTTATAAAGTATCCAGTCTTAGGTATTTTGTTACAGCAACAGAAGACAGACCAGGACAACTCCTAAAAATAAAAAAACAACACCCTATTCCTGTTAAGCATTCAACACCTATTACCTTCCCCGCTCATGGCCACTAGAAACAACTAATCTCCTTCCTGTCTCTGAGTTTGCCTATTCAGAACGTTTCCTAGGAATAGAATCATAGAAAATGTGACCTTTTGTGTCTGACTTTCTTTCACATACATAGTATTTCCAAGATTTAGTTCTGTTGTAGCACATACCAGTGCTTCATATCTCATAACAAGTGAAAAGTCTTCCACTGTATAGGAAACACCAAACTTTGTTGAACCATTCACAGATTGATAAACCTTTCAGTTGTTTCACTCTTTGGCTTTTATGAGTAATGCTACTATGAATACTTCTATACAGATTTTTGTGGAAGCACTTGATTTTATTTCTCTTGGGTGGGGATGCTAGTAGTTCATATTTGTTTTGTTGTTGTTTCCTGAGACAGGGTTTCACTACATAGTTCAGGCTGGCATTGAACTCATTGTGTAACCCATGCTGGCCTCAAATTCACAGCGATCCTCCTTCCTCAGCCTCCTGAGTACTGGGGTGCCAGGCATGTGCCACCATGCCTGGCATAGGTCATGATAGTTGTGTTTGGTTTTTCGAGAAACTGCAAAGATTTTCTACAGCATTGGCAGCATTTTCCATTCCCTCAAATGTACAAGTGTTCAGTATTGTCTACATCCCCTTCCACCTTACCGTTTTGCTTATGATCATCCTACTAGATGTGAAATGCTACTCATTGTTGCTTCAATTTGCATTTCCCATTATGTCTATGTTGAGTGTGTGATGGTAACTCATAAGTTCTGGTCATTTGTGTTTTTATGTTTTGGGGCCCTGTTTTTTGTAGGGGTCTGTTTGGGGTTTTTTTCTGTTTTCTTTCTTCACACCATGTAATAATCAGTTGCCCTATCTTCAAAATCACTAATTTGTTTTTTATTTGCCTGTTCATATCTGATTTTGAACCTCTCTTAAATTTTTCCTTTCAGTTGTAACTTTTCAACTCCAGAATTTCTATCTGCCTTCCTTTTTATGGTGTTTTCTGTTTGATGAGAATTTGTTTTCTTAAGCTAGGGATGGTGGTGCACACCTGAGGCAGGAGCATCACTACCAGTTCTAGGCCAGCCTGGGCTACGTAATGACATCTTGTCTCCAAAAACAAAAAAAAATTTTTTTTTTTCATTTCCTTCAGGTATTTTCAAACGTATTTAAAATAATTGCTCTGTTTTCTTTATCTAGCAAGTCCAGTGTTTGCACTTCCTCTGGGACAGTTTCTTTGTGCCAAGTTCTTTACTCTGGTGATATGCCATGCTTTTGTTTCTTTTCCTGACTCACTGTTTTGTTGAAAACTGAAAATTTAGAATATTACCTTATAGGTTAAGTGTCTCTTATCCAAATGCAGGGGACCAGAAGTCTTTCCATTATGATGGGGTTTTTTTGTTGTTTTTTGGTACTGGGAATCAAACTCAAGACCTTGTGTGTGCCAGGCAGGCACTTGTGCCCCTGAGGTGTATCCCTGGCTCCATAAGTCTTTCCAATTTGAGACTTTTTTGACTTTGGAATATTTGTATAAGCTTTACTGATTAAGCATCCCAAATTTGTTTTTCTTTTTTTTAAGAGGCATGAAAAAGATTTATTAGAGGGAGATATAGGACACACTCAAGAGCAGAGTGCAAGTGCTCAAAGAAATGAGGCACAATACAGTTGGGAACTGGGGGTTTTTTATGTGCCTTAGGAGGTAGAAATCTGTGGGATTTGGTAATCTGTAGTCTCAGCCTTAGTCATAGAGAATGGGAGAGACTTTCCCACCCATAGTGAGCTATTCCTATGGGAAATGCCAAAATGGTGATCCCTTCATGGGTGAAAGAGCACCATTTGCAAGAAGGGATGGTCAGATGGTGTTTGTAGCTGAAAGGGAGTTGCCCAGGTATGCTGTTTTGGAAAAAGGGATAAAAAGTAAATGAACCATAGCTGTGTTCTGAAGCTACAGTTTTTCTTTAGACTGCAATTTTAGAAATTTTGATTTCCTTGTCTCCTTTCCACCTAGCTTCTATCCTACCTCATTCCACCTGCCCACCTCAACTTCCATCCTTTCTTCTTAAGGGTTTGCAGCAGGCCAGTAGTCCGTTGTAGTAACTGCTTCAGGCTGAGGAGAGGTGTTGGTCCTGCCTAGCCAGGGTCCAAAAGTCTTGTCCTGACTGATCTAAAGGAGACATAGGAATATTAGGCTCCATCTTTTGAGGAACCATCATTTTTCAATAGTGTAAAAGAGGTCCAGGACATACCAGATATTAGCCCACAACAATGAATCATGCAACAAACAAAAATTCCAATCCCCAGTATCACAGCCAGAAAAATGAGGACTTTTTTCACCAGCTTGCTTTAGGGGACCAGGATGCCAGCCAGTCATTAAAGTCTATGGCAGCATCTGACACTGCACTGTGAGCACAGATAGATCATCCAGTGCCAGGAAAGACATTTGCAGAGTTGTCAGGAATATACACATAATGTTCTGTTTTTTTTGTTTTTTTTTTTTTTTATTTTAAAAATAAAAGGAAAATACTAACAGACAGACAACATTTTACAAAATAGCAAAGGATCACTACAGACAGTACAGTTACAAACAGAGTGGTAGGGAATTAACAATGCTTGTTGTATTACATATTAATAACTTCAAAGTGGTTTCTCATGAAAACAGATATAGACATACAAAGCTGATCAACCAAGGACTCATTGACAGTTTCTTTCAGCAAGGAAATACAAGACAGTAGAACAGCCATGTTAACTGTCCTGCATATACATACATACAAACTTTCTCCTTCTTTCCCTTCTCTTTCCCCATATCCCAGTTACCCTTTACCTTTGAGTGCTTTCCTATCAATTCACAATGTCTAACATATCTCCTAGTTTAAATTAACTCTTTCAGGCTTTACACTAGAGAAACAATGTGGTGCTTGCACATGTATGTTTGATTTATTTCACTTATGAGTATGGTCTCTAGTTGTGACCATTTACCTATAAAAGCCTCGAGTTTATCTTTCTTTACAGCTGAGTAATATTCCATTATATAAAAGTACCACAATTTTCTTATCCAATCCTCAGTGGTGGACATTTGGGTTGCTTCCACATTTTAGCAATTACAAATAATGTTCTGTTTTGATAATGGTACACCTCCACCTTGTGCTGCTGTTAGAATATCTAGAGCCTTTGAATTTGGGGGGCCTGATTTTTTTTTTAATTCTTTATATGTTCTAGACAGAAGTCCTTTGTCTGAGGGACATTTGGCTAAAATTTTTTCCCAACTCATGGGTTTTCTTTTTACCCTGTTGGTGATTTCTTTTGATATGCAAAAACTTTTCAGGGAGATGAGATCCCAGTTGTTGATTCTTTGAAGTATTTCTTGTGCAGTTTGATTTTTATTCATGAACTCTGTACCTACCCTTTTGTCTTCAAGACTTCAGATGGCTCTTTTCATCATTTTTACTTCTGAATTTAATAATGAAATACCCTTTGCCATATCACTTAGAGCTCTATGTTTATAGTTAGAGATTCAGTATCACCCATTACATTTGTGGGGGAAGGATAAAGACAGCAACCAGATAGCAGTGAAAACTGATCTGGTCCATTGATGTCATGAGGCTGGGAGGTTGGCTGGTTGATCTATGGTTGTAACTCAGCACCCTTGGACCCATGGATACCCTAATGTACATCTTCCTATCCCCCCTGGAGGCAACTGAGGCCATAAGTTTTTACCACAGAGCCACTGGGTACCATTTGGGGATGACCATCTGATTCCAGCTCTTACCCTCTAGATAACAGCAAACAAGTTAGTATCGCTTCACACAATAGTGTGATTACAGCCCTGGCTAGGAATTTACCCCATGTATTGGGTAGCATTGCTCTAGTTATCATACATATGATTTCTTTGTTCCCAATAAGGGGGTACTAGTTGATTGAGTTGTCCCCTTTTTATATTTACCCAACCTTTTGGTTTAATATTATTCTTTATAATTCTGATTATACTTTCCCATTGGACGTTAAAGAGCAAGTCAAAGGGAGACCTGTGTTAATCAAAATTAATCTTGCTCTCTATGCGTATATTAAGGTCAGTTCAGGCTCCTAAGGATTACTTTTGGGGTCACAGGCAAAGCCTCTTAGCTCTTTTAGATTTTTCATCTGCCAGGATAGGTCATGTCGTGCTGGACAACATGGCTCTCCTTGGAAGCATAGGGACATTTTTTTCCTTTTTAGTGACCCTCCTTTTAGCAAAATGCACACTGGTCAATTCCTCTTCTCTGGGGTCCATCAGTCTCCCTGCTCAGGAGGTTGAGTGACTCAACAGAGTTGTACGATGCTATAGAAAGAT